CACACACACACTCTCTCACTCTCACACACACACACACACACACACACTCTCTCACTCTCTCACACACACACACACACACACTCTCTCTCTCACACACACACACACTCTCTCTCACTCTCACACACACACACACACACACTCTCTCTCTCTCACACACACACACTCTCTCTCACTCTCACACACACACACACACACACACACTCTCTCTCTCACACACACACACACTCTCACTCTCTCACACACACACACACACACTCACTCTCACACACACACACACACTCTCACTCACTCACACACACACTCTCTCACTCTCACTCTCTCTCACACACACACTCTCACTCACTCTCACAGACACACACACACACACACTCTCTCTCACTCTCTCTCTCACACACACACACACTCTCTCTCACTCTCTCTCACACACACACACTCTCTCTCACTCTCTCTCTCACACACACACTCACTCTCACACACACAGTCACTCTCACTCTCACACACACACACACTCTCACTCTCACACACACACACACACTTTCACTCTCACACACACACACTCTCACTCTCTCACACACACACATTCTCACACTCACACACACTCTGTCTCTCTTCCCGCCACCCCCACACACACACACTCTTTTTCTCTCTCTCTCTCTATTCCACTCCCCACCCCACAGAGGTATTTAATGATTAACTCATCACAGTTTCTGGCACCAGTTTGTTTTGAAGCAATGTGAGACAGTGAGACCTCCTGCAGTTGTGATGGGATTTGTATTGGAACAGTGTTTGCTTGCTTTTAGTTTGGAGATTCAGTAATTGATTTTTTTGGCTTAAGGGAAATACCAATAGACTTGAAAAGTTTTGGGTTCAGTTCACAAAAGTCCTGTTTGAATTTCAGTGTAGGAACCATAAGTTGGAAAGATTTGAATGCAGTTTGCAGGGAACCTGGCTCAGATCAGATGTAAGAATAGATCATCCTGGAGAAAGGATTTTCTAAACGGCGAGAAAATTCAAAAGTCTGAAGTGCAAAGAGACTTGGAAGTTCTAGTCCAGGATTCTCTCAAGGTAAACTTGCAGGTTGAGTCAGTAGTCAGGAAGGCAAATGCAATGTTGGCATTTATTTTGAGAGGACTTCAATATAAAAGCAGGGATGTACTACTGAGGCTTTATAAGGCTCTGGTCAGGCCACATTTAGAGTACTGTGTGCAGTTTTGGGCCCCATATCTTAGGAAGGATGTGCTGGCCCTGGGGCGAGTTCAGAGGAGGTTCACAAGAATAGTCCCGGGAATGGAAAGGTTAACATATGAGGAACGTTTGAGGACTCTGGGACTATACTCATTGGAGTTTAGAAGGATGAGGGGGGATCTAACTGAAACTTACAGAATACTGAATGGCCTGGACAGAGTGGATGTTGGGAAGATGCTTCTATTGGTAGGAGAGTCTAGGACCCAAGGGCACAGCCTTAGAGCAAAGGGAAGACCTTTTAGAACAGAGATAAGGAGAAACTTCTTCTTCCAGAGAGTGGTGAATCTACGGAATTCACTGCCACAGAAGGCTGCGGAGGCCAGGTTATTGAGTACATTTAAGACTGAGATAGATAGGTTCTTGATTATCAAGGAGATCAAGGGTTACGGGGAGAAAACAAGAGAATGGGTTTAAGGAACTTATCAGCCATGATTGAATGGCAGAGCAGACTTGGTGGGCCGAATGGCCTAATTTCTGCTCCTATGTCTTATGGTCTTATGGTCTTACGGAGTTAGTTCAGAACAATGGATCACCTCAGTGAAAGAGTTTGAGTTTTAAAATCAAGACCAGAGGTATTTGGTTAGAATCTTGAAAGAGTTATTTGAAGCTAAGAAAGTTTAAGCTCGGAGGAAGGGTCACTCAACCCAAAGTGTTAACTCTGATTTCTCTCCACAGATGCTGCCAGACCCGCTGAGATTTTCCAGCAATTTCGGCTTTTGTTTAGTGTGGAAAGTTTAAGCTCAATTGTGTGAATAAGCAAGGACGCGGCTATCAAACTCATGAGACCAGGAATTGAAACAAACGGTTGTAACTGAAACAAACCTGTTGATGTGAAAGGGAAGAGAACTCTCTCTGGTATTTGAATATTGTAAAGTGATGGTGTTGGGATAGTTGGTATTTTGTTCTGCCAAGTGTTTCAAATTCATTTAAATGTAAATAGTTTGGTTTGTTTTATTTTGTCTTCATTTCCTTTGTGTAATAAATGTGTGTTTTGTTGTGACAAACACATTTGCAGCATCGTGTGTTTATTTTTCAGTGAAGGACCACCATGTTAAATGTAAAGGGAAACAAAATATGATCTATTAAGCAAGATTTCAATTTGACTTGTCAGTAGCAACATCAGCTGGGATCATTATAACATACAGTCATGCGCAGGCATAGACCAATACAAACACACACACCCACACTGGCACACACACACACATCCACACACACACACACATAAACACACACATCCACACACACACACACATAAACACACACATTCACTCACACACACACACACAGACACACACACACAAACACACAGACACACACACACACATAAACATACAAACACTGACACACACACATAAACACTGACACACACACACACGCACACACACACACACTGGCATAAACACACACATTCACTCACACACACACACACCCACACAGACACACACACACGCATAAACATACAAACAGTGACACACACACATAAACAGTGACACACACACATAAACACTGACACACACACATAAACACACAAACACTGACATGCATAAACACACACACACACACATACACAAACACTGACCCACACACAAACACTGACACACTAACACACATAAATACGCATACACAAACACACACACAAATACACATGCTGACACATACACTGACATACACACATGGATACAAAGACAGACACACACACGGGCAGACACATACTAGCACACACAAACGCAAATATATTGACACACAATTGATGCACACACATTTACACACACACACAGGGACACATAGACATAGACACAAGCAATGGCACACACTAGCACACACACACAAATATACTGACACACAGACACACACACACCAACACACACACATACACAAATATACTGACA